AGTTGAGGTGGCGGAGTTTTCACCGTAATTTCCCCCCCATCAACCCTAACTAACCAAACCCATAAAAAGAAACAAGCGAAAGAAAAAAAAATCCAAGGTGAACTTGATGTCAGGCCCAGGAATGGGTTTTCATGGGCCTTTTAAGCAAACCAAACATGCCCTAAGTAAGAAAATAGTAGATTCAGTTGCAATTATTTTAACCACTAGATTAATAGATGAGGTTAATTTTAGTATATAATGAACATATTAATAGACTATTCTATATCACCATGACCTATAATTTTAGTATATATATTAGATTTTAGTATATAATGATTATATTAATAGACTACTTTGTATCACATGACCTATAATTTTCAATTTTGTTTGTTCTTTTATATCTATTTTGCATCCACATATAATTTCTATTATCCGATTTATATTCGTATGCCTTTTTTTGCGGATACGATTATGAGTTTTTCCTGTGAAGATATATCTATATTCATCTTTATATCTATGACTAGTAAGCGGATATGATTTGTTTCTACCCAAACCCGTGAATGCATGATAATAGCACCGTTAACCAAATGAAACTAATTAGACTTTCATGTCTTTGTTGGAAAATTCTTTATTAATGTTATTCTTCCAAATCTTTATATTCAATTTACTACTTGCACCTGTTAAATTATTTAAACCACTCATTCTAAATAGGTTTAACTCTAATTAGTCAACTATTTTATTTTATTTAGAAATGCTTAATAAATTTGGGGTGTGAATTAACTATGAAGATTTGAGGATCCAATATAAAGTTAATGGAAAACTTTAGAGCGCAATATGACTACTAATTAAGAGCTATGGAGATATTGTTTGAAATAAGATGGCGTCGAAGTTAGATTCAGGTGAAGCTAGTGCTCGTGGGCTGATCCGAGACTCAGAGGGTCAATGGGTTGTCCGCTTTACACTTAATCTTGGTCATTGCAACAATATGGTGGTAGAGCTTGACGCTATCCGTTTTGGCTTGTCCCTTGCATCAGATTGGTTGGAGAAAGGTTATATGTGAAACGGATTCACTAAGTGCAATACAATTGACTCAGTATGGTGATAGTGATTGTAATCCACTAGGCGCCCTTTTTGATGATTGCCATTGGTTAATGGCAAGAAAATGGTGTTGCAAGCTCCTCTATATTTTTACAGAAGGCAACGCTTGTGCGGATGCTCTTGCATATTAGCGTGCTCCCCTAGATGCCTCCTAAATCTTGGAGCACACTCCCCCTTTGTTAAGCAACCTTCTTTGTGATGATTGTATTGGTGTAACGCTTTGTTAGAGAGAAGTAGGTTGTTTGCTTTGTTGTTTTTCATTTTCCTGATCTACCCAAATAATATAATAATAAGATTTAGTATATAGATTAAAAAATTATGATTTTCAAGGATACTAGTAATAATAAGTAAATTTGAGCTGACAAAATCCATATTTTGCTTTAGGATAAATTTTACATCGCCCCTTTTTATCCATACTTTCAGTTGCGTTAAACTCCCCCCTCAAGCTATTTATTAGTATACTAGTCGAGAGGTTGAATATCATGATTATTTAAATTGATAAAAATAGAGTAAAAATTAAAAAAATAAAATTTTTTGTGGGATTGATCATCAACTCAATAATCTCTCTCTCAAATAAAATATTATCGTTGTTTTAATCAACCCAGACTGTGGCCACGTGATCTACTATTTATGAGTTATAATCACATTAATTTAGTACAACATCTCTATTTATTAGTATCTTAAAGTATTCAAAAGATGAGTGATCATTCAATTCATAAAAGACTTTTGCATATGAATTTACTTGCAATATGGTCATTACACTTTTAGTTGTGATTTGACTCGTATTCACGTTAACTTTTAGTTATTGTTTCACTCATATTTATATTATCTAATATTCTCATTCAATTTTATAGCTCATTTTCTGTATCATAGAAGTAAATTTGAAACTATGAAGAATTATTTTCTTACGAAATTAGAGCAGAAAGATTATGATATATTTCGCCATATGTTCTAAATATAATTTTTATTCTTTAATACAATGTCTCTATCAAATCTTACCCCAAACGATGTAAATAAAAAAAATACTATTATAACTCACTTGCCTAGGACAATTGTATTATATTAATGATACATAATTCATTTGGAATATCCACATCTGCTAAGTGGATTTTGCTGTTATGAGAGCAACATGTTAGAGGCTCGTATTCAAACATTTTGGCTCTATAAAAGACACAAGAATTTAGAGTGCATAGCTTATATATCGTAAAGAACATATTGATTTATGAAGAATTTTTCCTAAAAATGATATAATTACAAAATTATATAGTATATATATGGAAACCTTGATGCTTATAGCCAGTAATTGGGCTCCACAAAATATGTTAACTTTATATTGTAGTTTGCTATTTGTAGTATCGTTGACAATGCCATTACCTTTCCTCTTTATCTTATTATTAACACTTTTTTGATATAAGTTCTCTTTTGCTAATTACTCAATTGGCTAGATTCCTCTTTATCTTATTATTAACACTTTTTTGATATAAGTTCTCTTTTGCTAATTACTCAATTGGCTAGATTTAGTTTTTATAATATCAGATGTTAGATTTGATATAAGTTCTCTTTTGCTAATTACTCAATTGGCTAGATTTAGTTTTTATAATATCAGATGTTAGATTATTCTATTCTATTTAAAAAGTGTTGACATTATTTTCTTAAAAAATATATACACATAGTAGTAATAGTATATACTTCAGTTCAACTCAAACATTGACTTGAAGCCATTTAGAGTGAGGTCATTTCTACGCTAGAATGGTGATATAGTGATTACACAGTCTAAAAGCCAAAGAAGAAATTTCTACAAAGGAAAAGTAATTTAATATGTCAAATTAAGAACTAATTTATAAATTATACATAGGCAGTGCAGGTAGCTATAAAAAGTAGGGTATATATCTTCCTAAAATTTTTATAGTGAATGACCAACTGCAATCATCCTAATTTAAGAATAAATAACTATTATTTTAGTTACTAATTTGATACACGTAACTATGGAATAAATCTCCAGCAAAAAATAGGAATTGAGATTGTATTTTATACTGTAGGTAAATAAATAAATGTTATTAGAGATCCTCTTTATAATAAATTTAAAAGTAATAATTTAAATTATTAAGCACCAAATATTAGCTCATGTGAGAAAGTAAAATAATATATAGTCTATATACATTTATAGTCAATTAATTAAACGTATTAAAAATATGATGACCACGGTCCAAATTATATGGTGGGTTCACATTAAAAAAATAGTACATTAAAGCCAAAATCTTTTTAACCACTATATAGATTATCTAAAAATTATTACATATATGAACTATATTGCCTGAGAAGAGTGATGTGCGCACTTAACTATGATATAATAATCTTAAGAACAACCTACTCTTCAATATCATCATTAATTGACGTATCTGTGCATTACACTAAAAACATAATAAAAATTTAGAAAACTACAAAACAAACATCCTTAAAAGTTTTAAAAATTAAAAAAAAATACCCTAAAATTTTATAATTTATAAATACACAAAACTATTAAACATTACATTGAAATCAAGGAATTACAAAAATTCATTAAAAAATTTTAAACTTTAGAGGGCTAATTTGTAATGTACTAAACTTTAAGGGTTTTTTTTTGTAAATTTCAAATTTAATAGATTTTTAATTAGTTATGGTCTTTTCAAAAATATTATGGGTAATATTTACCATGAAAAGTTTTTTCTAAACCTATACTTTTAAAAGGTGTATGATATTTTTTTCAAAATTTTAATTTTCTAGTGTTATTAGTAATTTTGCATATTTATTTTAGTGTCTATAGGGTATAAATTCTCATAGTGTATTTTTTGTAAATTATAAAATTTAGGGGTTTTTTGTAATTTGTTAAACTTTTAGGCCATTTCTAAAGATTGTAAATTGTTTATAGACTATTTATAATTCCTATACTTTCAATTTACTAATGAATTTGAAACTCTTAGGGTGTTTTTTTAATAAATTTTGAATTTTAAAGGTTTGTTTGTAATGTTTAAAACTTTAATGGTGTTTTCTATAAATTATAAATTATGTAGGGGAAATTTATACTTCCTATATTTTCAATGTATGTTAGGTTGGAAATTATCAGGATTTTTATAAATTTTACAATTCTGAGGGTTTTATTTTGCAATTTATAAAAAGTTCAGAGTGTGTATAGCAAATTTTATAAAATTTTGGGGTTGTTTGTGTTATTTGTAGGCTTTTAGTGTGTTTATAGGTTTAAATTTTTTAAGGTGTTTTTTTATAAAATTTGAATTTTAGGAGTGTTTTTATAATTTTTAAAACTTATAAGATATTTTCTCCAACGTCAAAAAACTTTTAGTTTCTAGCTAGCATATATTTTTTAGATTTCTCACTAAATTAAAATAAGTAAAATATATAAATTTTAAGATGCTTTAATGAAAATTTGAATTTGTAAAGGCCGTTTTGCAATTTAAAAAACTTGGAGAATATTTTTTACAAAATCCAAAAACTTTTAGGTGCTGTCTAGCATTTGTTTTTTAGATTTCTCTATGAACTTAAATAAGTAAAGGATTTGAATTATATCAAACATATTTTCTTTATCTAATAACATGTTAAGTCATTATAAATATGATAAATCATTTAGTTACTAATTCAAAGAAGATAGAATAATTAGAATAGATTAGGATAACAATGTAATATTTAAAAAAATTAAGAGTAATATTGACCATGAAAAGATTTTCTCGAACTCGTACTTTTAAAGGGAGTATGATATGATATGATTTAGCCTCAATTAAATCATAACGAAGAGAGGTATTACTTGCAGCTTATATTTCTAAATAATAAGTAAATGATTTGAGGGGATTATGGGTAATTTACATTTACTACGCCCAGATTCGTAGAGAAAAGCTAAAATATGCGTTGAAAGAGGGTTAACATAGAAAAAAAAACTACTTTTCAATTTGGAAACGGAACAGAGTGAATCTGTTGAAGAAGGAGAACTGGTCGTAGTTTTCTTCTTCCTCTCTCTCTGTCTCTCTATTCGATTCCTTAAAAAAAAAACAGCAGAAAAAAACCCCAAAAGTTTCTAGGGTTTTGTCCTTTAACAATGAGCTGATTTCTCCCAAAATTCTCCCCTAATTCAATCAATTTCCTATCCGATCGCATCGCGATGTCACTAGCTTCGAAATTAGGGTTTATCTCGGTACTTTTGGCGTTGCTTGGAGCTGCGAGCTGTGAAAGGAGCGAATCGGAGGCTTACGTGACTCTTCTTTATGGCGATGAGTTCCTTCTCGGTGTTCGAGTTCTTGGCAAATCGATTCGAGACACTGGATCGAAGAAGACCATGGTTGTTCTCGTCTCTGATGGCGTCTCGGATTACTCGAAGAGACTCCTAACGGTAATGATTTGGTGTTCCTGTTTTCTTAAGTTTTGTAAATCTAGGATTTGAAGCACCAATTTAGTTTTGGGTAGCTCATAAGTGTTGACATTGATGTGATTTGAAGAGTTTGAATTTTTTTAATCAGCAACGAACTTGAAAAAGTGAGATCTTATATGACATTTACGGGGTGTTGAAATCTATGTAATATGTGCATATAGGGTGAAATAATGTAGGATTACTTCTTGATCAATGCCAAAGTTGCCGATATGACACAGATCAACAGTGGTGGAGCCAGGAATTAATTAAATTTGATAACGTGTAAATTTTATTGCGTGGTTGATTAGTATCTAACATATTTATATAACAAGACTTCTGTAATCAAATTTCAATAGTGTTTACAATAGCATTTGTCTTGCCTTCATTTATTGGAATCATTTAATGGCATCTTCCTCATCAATGTTACAACATATACTATTGCTGAAAAGTTCTTTCAACTGAGGATGTGGGGTTTGGAAAGATTAGAGATGGATGAACTTACAATTTATACCCATACTTTCTTATATATTAAAGTGTTAGAGACCTCAACTTATAATGAAACTCTGGAGAAGGTTCAACAATTTAAGGTACAGGCTAAAAATGCTGAATTGTGAGCTCTGTTAGGGTTCAGTTGCAAATTGTATTCTTTTGTAGGTCTTAGTGTAAATGTTCTTGAGTTGTAGCTTAGACGTTCTCTAGCTATACATGGGTGTGGATGTCAATTGATTTGTTAGAAAATTGTTGTAACAACTAGAGGAGTAGAGGTCCACATATAGGGGATTGTTAGTGTTGACCATCTTCTACCTTGAGAAATAAAAACTAAGGACCCAATTCTCTTGCTCTTCTGTTCTTCTCTTTTCTCCTCTCAATTCTTTGTTAAACTGGAGCTCAACCACTCTCTAATGGCGAAATATGGAGCTAAGGAAGGCAAAAAAATTCGATTTGAATGGAGGTTTTCCTGGTGGTATCAAAATGCCGCTGTGTCTGGATATCTTATCCATCTCTCAAAACCCTTTCATAGGCAACCCTACTTGCTCTAAATTTTCCTTTTTTTTTGTTGGAGGGGGGCAGGATATGTGAGTTTTTACCATGATTATTTTCTTGAATCTTGATAGCATTGGTTGTACATTTATGAGACTTAAACAAGAAGAGTTTTAAACACTAAAAAGTAAAAACATAAACATTTGAGGAAGTGAATGATCATAGATTCGTAGAATATTCTATATAATAATTTAACCAGAAACTGACATGAATGGTCACACCGAAATGAATTTGCTCTTTAGTGCAATAAATAGTAAGTAATAGGTATCTCATCTAGTTAGTTTGTAAGCATGATACAGAACTATAGAGATAGAATTATATTTTAATCACAGAAAGTATTAAAAAGGAATGGCAGACACAGTTTCTCTTCAAAGTTTCTTCTCATAGCCTCATAAAGTTGTGTGCTGCTTCACATACATTTTCTGATTCATAATAGTGTCTGTCATGGAGGATTTTGAAGAGAATTGATAAGGCATAGGTTCTGTGACATGACATTGTTATAACCATCTCTTAGTGAGAGGATCTTTCAGTTTCTACTGGGAGAGAGGGTATCTGGGTCCAGCCTTGAATTGTTAAAAACGTAAACATTGCCTTTGTGATAATACTTAGAATATCATCTAATTTTCTCTTAGTTTTGAGGTGTCTTCGAAAATGGTAAGGTGGGTCAGTATATTCATTCTTTGTATTCCTCTTCCATGTACTAACTTGCTATTTCTGATAATTTTGTAGGCTGATGGTTGGAAAGTGGAACTTATAACTTTGTTGGCTAATCCAAATTCCATACGACCGAAAAGGTTTTGGGGAGTCTACACCAAATTAAAAATATTTAACATGACGAAGTATAAGAAAGGTAGGACTGTCAAGTTAACTACTTTAAACTGTTATTGCACGATCCTGTTGCTCAAACTAGCATTTCATCCTTGGCCAACTAGTTTGCATATCTTCAAGTAGAGTAAATATTCTGAGTTCCTAATTTTTTTTCTATCCAGTTGTTTATCTCGACGCTGACACAATTGTGGTCAAGAGCATTGAGGATTTGTTCCAGTGTTCAAAGTTCTGTGCGAACCTGAAACATTCTGAACGTCTGAATTCTGGAGTTATGGTTGTGGAACCTTCTGCAGCTCTTTTCGATGACATGATGAGCAAAGTGAACTCTTTGTTTTCTTACACTGGAGGTTAGAATCTTAGTATTTATTCTTCCAAATAATCAACTAAATTAAACATATTTTTTCATAATTGAAGAGCTTTTGACTTTTTTCTTATTATGTTGTTCTCTGTGATGTCTAGAAATATTAAGTTGTGACAGTTTCTCTCAGGTTAATAAACTCAGTTGCGTGGGACAAATATTATATTAGTGCATCTTTGCTTTTTACAGACAAGGGAGATTATTTTTGTGGTGTACATGTCAACAGGCTTGCATGGAGAGAAAACTCATTTAAAATCACAGCTAGGTTTCATCCCACAGACAATGCAACGCTCACCAATTCCCTCGGAGTTTTCATTCCTGTTCAGCTTTTTTGGTATTCTTCTTGAAGCATGCACCTTCATGGCTAGATACCAAATTCATTATGGCCCCCTTTGGCAAGGGATTAATAAGGGGATTAAGAGGGTTTAACCCCTCATTAACCTTCCAAACAATAAAAAAGCCCAAAGAATAAAAGCTCGCGTGACCATGAGACCCCTAATTAACCCGTCAATTGATGGGTTTACAATTCCACATCTGGAGGCGGAGTAAATTAACTCTGCCTCATCGCAAAGGGCGTAACAATTGTCATTTGAAAATATTCCAGCAGAACACAGTATTTTGATAAGGATAAATGCTAAGTGAAGGGAAGAATAGAAAAGTTATTTTGTGTGGAGGAAAATATCTTTAGTGGTGGGAAGTTTGTCTTTTTATCACTAAGCCCGTTATCATAAGCAGCAGTACTCCTCGGCTTCATCCCCAAGGCTGCTGCAAACCCAAATTTGTTTTTGTATCAAAGGCAATGATTAGAGAAAGAGTCATTCAAAGATATGTTCTGTTTCTTCCTCCCCATCTACTTAGGAAACATATATTAGGAGAAAAATGTGTTGATTTATGATTTAATTTTCAAATGTATTTATATAGGTAATTGAGTTTATACTATGATATGTTATATATTTGTGGAAATATTTGGAATTAATTTCAATTGTAGAATTCAGAAGAAATTTATCATACATTTTTACTGCTAAGCGGAAATGTTTTGTAGGTATTTGTAGATTTATTGCAAAACTACCATATGATGAATGCACCATTTGCAAGTATTTTGTAATTTCTACCTTATTCTAGGTGTGTCAGCAATGTTATGATGTGGCTGACAAAAGAAAAACAAGATTCTCGTACTTTCAACAAGGTTAAAGTTGGTATTGTTCGAATTTTTTCTAGGTGTGTCAGCAATGTTATGATGTCAGCAATGTTCTAGTTGAAGTCATCTCAATATATTAATTAATTATTAATTTTTTTTCTGCTTTCAATAAGGTTAATAAGGTTAAAGTTGGTATTGTTTAAATAAATAGAGGGATTGACCTTCTTAACACTTCTTCTATTGCCAAACACAAAAGAGTTAACTCTTCATGTTAATAATTCAATCCAAACGGAATTAAAATATTTTTAATTCTTCATAATGGGTTAACTAAGGTCATCCTTCTACTTAACCCTTTTCTCTTAAACCCTTGCCAAACGGCATCTATAGGTCTGGCCTTATGCATTTCTAGCTGACTAACAACATTAGCCAGAAGAAAATTGGACCAAATGATCTTCTGAGCACTAATCTTAAAAGTTCTTCGTTGTATTTGCTTAGTTACATAAATAGATACCCACCCTGCTATAGAAACATCATAATTATCCATCTTGACTTAGGCTGAAGTCACAATCTTAATCTGTACTTATGGCACATGCTGACTCTTCAATCATCATTTGTAATAGTGCATAGACAAATTGAGAATATTCTGTGATCCAAGAGATGCATCGGCCTTTAGGGTTCATTCAATAATCCTGTGTGCTAGACATTTATGTAGCCTGAGGAAATTTGTGGACTAGTTTTGATTTATTACCTATGGCAAGTTGCGTTGCCGTCCTTGTTACTATTTTTTTGATGAATTAGTTTATTTTTCTGAATTTGTTATGTTATATACAATTCATTGAACTCCTTAGCTAACCCATGTTCTTCACCCACTGCAGGAGATCAGGGTTTTCTCAACTCATATTATGCTGATTTTCCCAATGCCCATTTATTTGAACCGAACTTATCTTCAGAAGCTAGGAAAAGTAGGGCAACACCTGAAATGGAGCGTCTCTCTACTCTGTATAATGCAGACGTTGGTCTTTACATGCTGGCCAACAAGGTAAGCACCAAATTCCAGTGAAGCATTAAATTGTATTATCTTGCAATTTTTTTCATGCTCCAATCATGTTGGAGAACATTAATGACCGTAACAGAATTATTGTTTATTAGTTCCCATGTAGTTTCAAAGTGTGAGGTTTTGTGTCTTAGCCCTAAAATAGCATTTTTCTGGGCTAACTCAATTAAACTCTTCTAATTTACCATATTGTGTTCTTTCCTTTGCCTCAACACTAGTCAATACTGGGAACAACTCAAGGTTTCATATAGACTCAAATTTCTTACCGAGATTAAGGCAACATTTTCTTACATGCTTAAAAAACATAACTTTCTACTTACTAGTGAGTAATTTGAGCTTTCAATGATTCACCTGCCTATAATGTGCTGTCCAATTTTGGGAAATTAATGTGGTGGATGTCTTTTGTCAATGTGTTTGGTCGGAAAAACAAGAACTGTTAATATCGTGTTGCATGACAACTTTTCATGATTTTCATTTAATTTAATAAACTACTATCCATATTGAGATGTGAATAAATAATTTAAAAAAAACCAATCAAACTGTTGAAAGTACTAAATGAAGCAAGATCACTGCTTCATTTGTTGATCCCTTAATTTCTATGTTTGCTTGACCTTCATGCGAGTAATCTTTGTATAATGACATATACTTGTAGGACTAAAGCCTATCTTGCTGATTGTATTGCTGCCTATTCTTGATGCTTTCTATATTTGCTACTATCAGCAGATGCTTCTTTCCGAAATCTAGCACTCGTCTTGTCAGAAAAAGAAAGAAGATGTGAACTTTCGTAGTGGTATCCTTGTCTTTCAAATCAGTATTCTACATCATGTTGTTCAACGTTTCGGCTGTCTGATGCTTCTCTCTGCACCTTTATTATTGCTTCCTTTTTCACTTGACATACTAAAAGTTCCACAAAGGCAACAGTCATGACAATGATCACCACCTATTATGTCTTTAAGTCTTTTTGCAAAAATAATCTAGATAATACAATCGGCCTCAAAGTGCGTTTTATTTTTAGCTCAGTTTTGTATTATGCGCTAGCCTTGCTTGCTGTCTGCTGATTCCCTTTAAACGTATCGTGTTTTAGTGGATGGTTGATGAGAAGGATCTACGAGTCATTCATTACACCCTTGGCCCTCTTAAGCCATGGGATTGGTGGACAGCTTGGCTTCTAAAACCTGTTGACGTCTGGCAGGTGCTTTCTCTGATCTTTCTACTTTTTATTTGTTATCCCAGTTCAGCATATTATCAAATGATTTCATCACTTGTAATTTTGCAATCATTTGTAACATTTTGCGTTTTTTGGTTGCTTCAGGTGATTCATATGCTTAGATGAATTCCTTTATTTAGTTTAGTTCATGCTGTTGAAATTCACGATTACTTGGTGCTATTATGCTGTAGAAAGTTCGCGAACAACTTGAGGAAACACTTCCAGGTACCGGAGGAGGACGAAACGCCAATGAGCAGCTGATAGTCAGAATTCTGTTTGCCCTTCCCTTATGTCTTTTGCTGCTTTGTTACTACAGATCCTTCTTTCAGGTTAGAACTCCCAGGTCGGAATACTTTTAACATTTTGAAACTTTCATTTTGGGCAATTTAATATATCTCTACTACTTGCAATTTTATTTGGTACAGATCAGAGATTTGTTCAGTACTTCTGGTCGAAGCTCTATATGTGATTATGCTCGACTTGTTTACTATAAATATAGATCAGGTGCAGGAATTCAGAGTTATTCTTCTGTTGGTGTCGCCTCATCTTCCATTGCTAATTCAAATCAACAGGTATCTTTTTTTTTCACTCTTTAGATTTGTCTAGGTGAGTTTTTGTTTTTTAATATAAGCTCGAAGCTCTTAATACATATAATCAAACTTAACTTAGATCAATTAGAATTTGTAGAAGTACAAACATTCTCTTGTGTGTAAAACATACGAAGCAAATGAATTCATCATCTCTGGTATCCTTATTTTGCAATTGCACCCTTATTAGTAAACTGATTCCTGCTGATGTCTTGCCTAAATCTGTCCTCTCCATATAGCATAAACGTTTCTATTGTGAAAAAGTGTCATGTTAAAAATTTGTCACACAAATTGTGCGAGTTTAAAAAGTTGTCTGCCAGTGTGCATCAATATCGTATCTGTATCAGTGCATTAAAACAATATGGTATGCTGTTTATAAGAAGGATCTACACGTGGCAGCTTGGAAATATGGTTGCGACCTTAGCTAATCTAGTTCTGGAAGAGATTTGTAACTTCAGGATATTTCATTTGTTTGCTACTTTTTTACTAGTTCTGGAAGGATCTGTAAGTGGGTATTTTGGTATGATATAGGCAATTCAAAGGACCTTTTCCTCTTGATTGTTTAGTCATCCATGGAGTTGCCAATGCTAAGTGCTATTATAGGGAACGACAAGGTTCTCTTTTCTGGGTGCTTTTATTACATACTGCTGTTACTAGTTTGTCAGTTTGATGCAGCTCCAGAAATGATTAACCTTTCCTTTATTTTGGTATATGGGCGATACAACATAAGAGCAACAAAGAAAACATTACAAAAAGCCTTCACAGAGAGACAACTGCTTTAATTTTCTGATAGTATATCTAAAATAATCTCATGATCCATGTGGTACAAGTCCTCAAAACACAATGGTTTTGATTTAGCTGCCATACATATGTAGCCTATGAATCACGATGAATAGAATAGATCAGGCTTTAGGATAATCTAAGTCAATAAATCATGAATTCTCCTTGCCTCGATTCTTGGATAATTGTTCAGTTTGCTATCTCTTGATGCTTGAGCAAGGTCATTAATATTTTTTGGCTATAGAACTTTATCATCATGTTGGTCCACGTGAATGGAGTGGATTGTTCATTCAGTTTTATTACATATCATGACTTTGCTAGGTAGCATAACTGAACTAGTTATGGGAGATATTGAAGTTTCATCTCTCCCTTCCTCTCTCTCTCTCTCTCTCTCTCTCTCACAAAATACTCATTTCACATTACTAAATTAATTACATTTGTTTGGGTCAAAAGTTGAGATTTTCATTGGTGACGAACTCATTACAATTTCAGCCATTACAATAAGTTTCAAAAGTTGAGATTTTCATTGGTGACGAACTCATTACAATTTCAGCCATTACAATAAGTTCAAAAAAAGAAAGAAAGTCGATCTCATTACAATTTCAGCCATTACAATAAGTTCAAAAAAAGAAAGAAAGTCGATCTTTTTATAAGATCTCTTTTATACAATGAAAATAAAGATTACAACTCTTATCAAACAACGCAATAGACGTTTATCACCCGCTGCTTGCATGAGATCTTTGCCTGTGCCGGGGACGTTAATATCCGTGGACCGCCGCAGATCAGATCCGGTTGACAGATTATGGAATCAAAGCTCTTACTTCACGAATGAAGTAATCGCTGCAGCGATGATCTCGACCAAACGAGATCACGACTCTTCTCGGGATTTAAGACCAAGCTTAAATCCGGAGGAATAGGGGACGAGTCTCAGATCTCTCGAACTCCACTCTTTATGCACAGGAGATCGCCAAGCTCTGCTAACCATTGCTGTAAATTCATGGCTCCACTCTCTAATTCGGTAGCATTTCGCCCTCTTGATGTCCACCCCGCTTGAAATGAGCCCCTAAGCCTGTATTTATAGGCTTCAGATACGGGTATTTAGATAAGAACGAGGGATTCCTCCTTATCTTCAGTTAAGAACTGATTAACCATAGTATCAGATCAGTTGGGACGCTCAGGAACCAACAAATTCCGAGAGAATCCGTAAAAACCGAAAAATCATACTTTTAAATCAAATTTGACCTAAGCGTCACCCGGTGGTTCAGTCTTGACCTAGCCACCAAATGGTGGCTCGGCCTGGGCCTAGCCACCAAATGGTGGTTCGGCCGTCGAGTCTTGACCTAGCCACCAAATGGTGGCTCGGCCTGGGCCTAGCCACCAAATGGTGGTTCGGCCGTCGAGCCACCCTTGGTGACCTGGCTATGGGCCGAACCACTGGTTCGAATCGTTTCGATGCGACTCGGTCGCCCGTGACTTTCTTAGTCTTTCGGATTTTGACTTGTTCTGTCGTTACGCGTATTTCATTGTTTCATTGATCTGTACGTTGTTTTGGTGGTCAATGAGCGTACGGGCCACTTGGTGGTAGTCGGTGAGCATGCGGGCCACTTGGTTCGTCGATTTGGTGGTCGATGAGCGTGCGGGCCATTTGATGGTGACCGGTGAGCACGCGGGCCACTTGGTTCGTCGATTTGGTAGTCGATGAGCACGCGGGCCACTTGGTGGTGGCCGGTGAGCATGCGGGCCACTTAGTTTGCCGATTTGGTGGTTGATGGGCGTGCGGGCCACTGGATGGTGGCCGATGAGCACGCGGACCACTTGGTTTGCTGAGAGCACGCGGGCTACTTGGTTCGCCGATTTGGTGGCCGATGAGCACGCGGGCCATTTGGTGGTGGCCGATGAGCGTGCGGGCCACGTCATCCATAGTTCGTTGATTCGCTGGTCGGCGTCGGATAATTCTCTTTGACTTAGATAATGGCGTTCATCACATTTTCTATCTCGAGCTGTGTATGGATACCTATAGGTATTTTTAGACACCTACAGATACCCCCTTCAAAGTATTTCAGACTCATTCTTTTATAGAGGAGTCTGAGATGCTTTGGATATGATAGGCCCCCACCTTCAGTCGGTGTCAAAGGACCTGTGAACCGCTTCAATTCTTGACTTCTTCAGCCTTCAGTCTATTCAGTGTTTTGTCAAGTAGATAAAGTTTTTCCGGTGCTGTGTTTATCGTTTGACCGTTGTCAAAATCTTGAATCGAAATTGGTGAGTTAGTTTTGACTCGTGTCATTGAGTTGATTTTGAACTGATTATCTTCGTCGCAACTTGTTAACAGGCGTTAACATAGTTTATACTCGTACGTTTGCTAGAGTCTACACAGTTTAAGCTCTTAAGACATTGGAGCGTGACAGTCCCAAATGTTGGGACTGCAGGACCAACTATTAAAGCTGATTCATCTGCATGTGTGAATCTTATCCCGAATTTGTTGGATATCCAAGTCACGAGACCAACTAATGGGGCTGGTGTGTCAGTGACTTTCCCGTATATAGGATTTTTGGCAAACCCTCAGCCATCAACGAGTTTGATGAACCTTTACCGATTACCGTTTGAGTCGGGCTAGCATGCGGATTGTTTAAGTCTGTTTCGCATGTGACGTTATGCTAAAAGAGTTAAGCCTTTTAGTGCTACGATATTGAATACGTAGATTTCGTCTTTCTCACGTGAAAAGACTAAACGGCGACGCGTGTTAGGCGTAGACTTTAAGGTTTTTGACAAACCCTCAGCATTCAACGGGTTTGACGTGTCTTTACCGATTACTGTTTGAATCGGGCTTGCATGCGGATTATTTAAGTCCGTTCCGCATGTGACGTTATGCTAAGAGAGTCAACTCTCTTAGTGCTACGATATTGAATACGTAGACTTCGTCTTTCTTACAGGAATAGACTACCCGGTAACCCGGGTTAAGCGCTGACTCATCCCTACTTAGGCTTCGGGATAAAATATCACATATTGGTATTCTGATGTCTTCTTCAATCAGTAAAGGACTAAACTGGCAACACGTGTTAGGCGTTGACTTATCCCTGTTCAGAATTCGGGATAAAATTCCCTGTGCGTGTGAAGCATGGATTTTGACGTTATAAATAACAACCTGTCATAATATCGAGTACGTGGGCTTTTGTTCTTTTTACGGTTAAGAACTAACCGGCAACGCGTGTTAGACATTGACTTATCCCTACTTAGGAGTCGGGAGAAAATTCTCCGTGCATGTGAGGCACGGATTTTGGTGTTATTAATAACAATCTGTCACAATATCGAATATGTGGGCTTTTGTCATTTTTACGGTAAAAGACTGACCGACAACGCGTGTTAGGAGTTGACTTATCCCTACTTAGGATTCGGGATAAAATTCCCCATGCGTGAATTCTGGTGTCTTCTTCAATCGGTGAAAGACTAAACCGACAACGCGTGTTAGACGTTGACTTATCCTTGCTTAGGATTCGGGATAAAATTCCCCGTGCGTATGACGCACAGATTTTGGAGTTAAAGGATGGTGTCTTATCTTAGGATAAAGACGAACCCAAAATGGGATAGGAAAAATTTTACATTCTATCTCCCGAAACCGAAGAGGAAGAATGTTATATTCTATCTCCAGTGCAGAGGAAACTCAAAGTGGGATCTCTAATTTGAGAATCTGAAGAGTGAAACTAGGAGTGAGATCTCCACTCCGAGAATCGAAAGATTTGGATAATCCTAGCTGTCGGAAGGTTTGATTACCGAACTAAAGGTGAATTCCTCGTTTATCGAGAGTGAATTGTGGTTTTGACCTTAACTGTAAGAAGGTTTGACCAAGCGGGAGTTTGAGGTGACCCTAACTGTAAGAAGGTTTGATCACTCGATTTGAATGTGAACCTCTCGTTCATTGGAGGAATCGAGAGAGGATTTTGGTTTTGGCCCTAACTGTAGGCTATGAAGCACGAACACGCATAACATGAAGCCGTGTCGTGTCCGTGTCGGACACGTGTCAAACACACGTATCCTATGTATTTTTTAGGATTTGCCTCGTGTCGGCGTGTCGGATGGCCGTGTCGGATCCGTGTCCGTGCTACATAGACTGTAGGAAGGTTTGACCAAGTGGACAGCGGGAGTGAGAGTACAAATCATAGTGAGAGTGTTGACTTGTACAAATCACTCAGAGGGGGTTCCTGTGG